GGTTTTGATCGAGTGAATTTTTCATCAACTTCACGTCATCGCAAACGGGGCCAATAGAGTCATTCCTTCGTCATGTCGTTCACAAATACCAGAAACGCAGGCCCGGACTGACCCCTGCGGGACCCCGCTGGTCCAGGTGCCCACTCTGACTCCTCCCCCGTACCATGACTCGCTGCTGTCTTCCCGCAAGTATTCCCCGATCATTGTAGTGCCTTCCCCGTTATCCCTGCTTGGTCCCCCAGTTTTTTCCAAATCTCTTTTGTGGAACTGTGTCAAACGCCTTCTTGCAGTCCAAGGAAAAAAAACAATCCCCCCACCCCCCTTTTCCTTTTTCCTTTCTCTGTCACCCGTCATAGAACTCCATAGGGTTTTTACACAGGATTTTCCCCTCCCTGAAACCCGTTGGCTGTGTTTTATGGATATTCCCTTTTAGGTGTTTCCACCATCTTCTCCTATAATCTTCCCATGATTTTGCATACTTACATGTCAGTGACATGGTCTGTATTTAATGCTTCATGTCTGTTCCTTTTTAAAAATTTGGGGCTACATTTCTTCTTCCATGCCCCAGCAAACTCCCTGTTTCGAAGATTATTATTTGTTGTTAGGGGTACACATAGCGCCTCTGTCCCTCTCTCAATACCTGGGAGTGTTATCTGGCCCCCTTGCCTTTGAGGTATCTAGCTCATCGAAGCCTCTTCACTTCTTCCCCGGTTGTGTGCACTGTGTCCAGCACTTGGTGGTGTTTCCCCCCCCTCTCCGTCTTTTCTGGAGTCCCTTCTGTTTCCCCTTGGGAAAACTTCTTTGAATCTCTTGTTGAGTTCTTCACATACTTCCGGGCATTTCTTGTTGTCTCTCCCCCTTCCTTCCTTAGCCCGATTACCTGGTCCTTGACTGTTGTTTTCCTCCCGATGTGGGTGACAACAGTTTCGGGTCAGATTTTGGGTTCGTGCTATGTCATTTTCATATTGCTTTGGGCCCCCCTTCATATCTGTGCTATTCGTTTTTGGCTCTCGATGTTTCCTTATTCCCGGGTCCTTTGCCCTTTTATATTTCTTCCATTTTCCCAGCACACTTGGTTTTTGCCCCCCTGCACCTTTGGGGGAAACCCTGGGCTCATCCTGGCTTTTTCATTAATCCTGTTTCCCCTTTGGGGAAAAAACCCTCCCCAGCCTCCCGCATTTTGTTGTACTTATTCCTCTCTCATTAACTGGCTTCCCTGCCAGTTCTCTGTCCCACTGAACCCGTTCAGGGAGTTCCCATTCCTGTGTAGTCCCCCTTTCTTTTAGTTTGGTTCATTCGTCCTGGCCTTCCTGCTTTTCCCCCCACTTGTAGCTCTACTGTGTATTCGAAGCTTAAAAACCCCATGGTCACTGGCCCCAAGGGGGCTTTTATGTGATGTCCCCGATATCTGCCACTCAAGGGGAATACTAGTCCAGCCTTGCTGGTTATTCCCCTCCTCTCTCTTTTATGTCCCTTAGTGTTGGCACTAAAGTTTTCCCGTACCACCTCCATCATCTTAGCCCCTCCATGTGTCTTGGGGCCCCCGTGGGTCCAATTCTCCCAATCGATTTCCCTTTTTGTTAAAGTCACCATGATCAGGAGCTTTGCCCCGCACAGAGCTTTCTGGCCATCTACCGTGTGTCAACCAGCTTATTGCTTCGTCGTACTCTTGCCTTGGGGTCCCGGTTCTGTGGTGGGGTTTTTTAATCCTGCTTTACCACCTTGGGGCCCCAGAGTGAAGTGTTCCCACTTGAATCACTTTCTTCTCCGCTGTCTCCTCTCTCCAGCTCATCAAAAATTTCCCCGATTTTTGATCAGTAACGCCACCTCCACCCCCTGTTCCCCCCGTCTTTCCCCGGGGTTTTGGTATCCCCTTGGAAAGATGGGATCTGTTATTACCCGTAAGCTTGGTTTTTTGTGAGACTATGATGTCCGGGGTGCTTTTTTGACTCTTTCATGCCCTCCTCCCACTATTTGTTATTCCATCAGGGTTTTTTACCAACCCTTTAGTTTCCTTTCCAAAACGTGGTTTGGGGGGCCGTGGGGTGGGAGACCTGGTGGGATACTGTGGGTTTTATACTCGGTGTTGGGGGGAGGCTGTGGGTATGGATTGTAGTTTGTTTGGGGGGGTGTGATGGTTGTAGGTTTGAGAGTAGTTGTGTGTGTGCTTGCCCTTGCTGTTCTGTTCTGCTCTGACTGACCTCTGCTGGTTCCCTCCTTGTCTCTTTTCCTAGCTCCTTTCGCTTTTTTGTCCTCTCCCTCAGCTGCTGTCGTTCTGATTTTGTTCTGTTTCTGTCTAGGAACACCCTCTTGTACTCTTCCGAGTATTTCAATCGTGGTTTCTCTTGGAGGATCCTGTTCCGCACTGTTTCCGTCCTGAGAATCAGCTTGATTGGTCGGTTTCTCCCCTTCGAGTACCCCCCTATTCTCTGAAAATTTACAATCTGTGTGTGTGTGTGTGTGTATGTCGTGCCGAATATGTAAAACTGGTCAATTAGCAAGAACTCATTTAAAATTAAGTCCTTTCTGAAATTTTCTTTTTTACGTTTAAAGATATTTTTTTTCATTAATGTTAATGTAAAAAAAATTGAATTTTTCACCAAAAGAATCTTAGAAAACTTACCTAACCTAATTACAACAAGAACAATTTATTTTAGCCTAACCCAACTAAATATATTTTAGATTTGTTTACGGTAATTTAATACTAAACAAACACAGTGAAATATATTTTTTTTCGTTAGGTTCAGAATGATTTTGGCGAAATTAATGCATACACAAATTTTCACTTGTCCTATATGGCAAGATGAGCGTTGCTATTTAAGCCAAGATGTCAAGTTCTGCCTATTCGGCACGACATACATTACATACATACATACATTATTATATATATATATATATATTATATATATATATATATATATATATATATATATATATATATATATGTATATAATATATATTTATATATATATAATAATATATATATATATATAAATATATATATATATATTATATATACATTATATATATATATTATATATATATAATTTATATATATTATATATTATATATATTTATATATATATATATTTTGTCGTGCCGAATAGGCAAACTTGCGTCTTGGCTTAAATAGCAACGCTCATCTTGCCCTAAGGACAAGCGAAAATTTGTGTATGCAATAATTTCGCCAAAATCATTCTGAACCTAACGAAAAATATATATTTGTGTTTGTTTAGTATTAAATTATTGTAAACAAATCTAAAATATATTTAGTTGGGTTAGGCTAAAATAAATTGCTCTTGTTATAATAAGGTTAGGTAAGTTTTCTAAGATTCTTTTGGTGCAAAATCGTAAATTTTTACATTAACATTAATGAAAAAAATATATCTTTAAACGTATAAGAGAAATTTTTAGAAAGGACTTAATTTTAAATGAGTTATTGCTAATTGACCAGTTTTACATATTCGGCACGACATATATATATATATATATATATTAATATATATATATATATAATATATATATATATATATATATATATATATATTTTATATATATATATATATGTCGTGACGAATAGGCAGAACTTGCGATCTTGGCTTAAATAGCAACGCTCATCTTGCCATATAGGACAAGCGAAAATTTGTGTATGCAATAATTTCGCCAAAATCATTCTGAACTTAACGAAAAAAATATATTTCACTGTGTTTGTTTAGTATTAAATTACTGTAAACAAATCTAAAATATATTTAGTTGGGTTAGGCTAAAATAAATTGTTCTTGTTATAATAAGGTTAGGTAAGTTTCTAAGATTCTTTTGGAAAAAAATTTTAAAACATTTTATACTTTAACATTAATGAAAAAATTTTAAATATTCTTTAAACGTATATAAGAAATATATTTATAGATAAATTATCTTAATTTTTAAATTATATTTATTAATTTAATTTTATAATATTCATACATATATAATATATATATATATACTATATGTCGTGCCGAATATGTAAAACTGGTCCGTTTGCAAAAAACTCATTTAAAATTAAGTCCTTTCCAAAATTTTCTCTTGTACGTTTAAAGTTTATATTTTTTTCATTAATGTTGTTGTAAAAATTTTTAATTTTTATAAAATATATATATATATATATATATATATATATATATATATATATATATATATATATATATATATATATATATATATATATATATATATATTATATCATATAAATAAAAATATATATATATATATATATATATATATATATATTTTATATTATATATATATATATATATATATATATATATATATATATACACACGTTTTGTTCTGATTGATTTCCGCTGATTGACGGAGAACACATTTGTCGAACAGGGCAAACTTACCGGATCGGTTTACTCGGCACAACACATTGTATTAATGAATGTCTGGGTGGTGTGGGGGTAGTGGTAGTACTGCCCTGATTAGCTTTTTGGTGCAGGGCTATGGCTACACTCACGTGCCTGGACGGGTACTGTAAGTGCTAGAAGTAGTGGAAACACGTCCTTTGCTTCGTAGTGATTACATGCCAAAGAATCGGTATCGGTGAGTATAAGCCCTTTTTGTTTATTGGTATCGGTTAAAAACAGCCGACAATTTCTATATTATAAATATTACATATGTGCTTAAAAATATCAACATTAGCACTCAACCTCACGATTATGAGACTCTCATACACTCCCGAATCCAAACAGTATCGACAAGTGCCTTTGACAATCAGTAAATATCACAACAGGCCAAATGATGAGCAATGATATTATCATCGCAAAGAAATAGTTATTTAATATTTAACCTTCCTGTGTTGTTTAACACCCATTGTGCAATTATCATTCCCTTATATACTGAAGTCACTGTAATTTCAAAAATAAAAGTAAAGGAAATGTATCGGTAACGGCCTAAATTTTGGAATCATCCCATTCCTACTCGATAATGAGTGTGGTATAGGTAGTGGTAGCACATACCTGCTTGGCCGGATGGTGCAAATGGTAGAGGTAATGATGGCTGTAGATAGGGTGGCCAGAGTCTCGTAGCCACACCATGCTGGGCTCTGGGAAGGCATCCACCACACACGACAGGTTCACTGAGGCGCCCAGCCTCGCCCACACTTCGTCTTCCCTCGCACGGATCATCGGCCGAACTATACGGGGGAAAAAAGTAGTAGTATGCTCGCATGTATGGAAATTATTTAGTAAAGCTAAAATTGAAAAAAAAATAAAAATAAGAACTGTTTTCTTATGCTACTCGAAGCAAAAAAAAAATGTTAAATAAGAGACGTATAACTGCTTGGGATAAATACAGTGAATTTAACTTCTAAACAGTTATATTCACCGAGAGGTACATGATACAGAATATATGCTGAATATAATTTATTTCTTATTTTAAGAATTGCAGCATTCTTGTCTTATGGTGAAATGGCTACCGGGCAGCCTTAATGACCCTCGTGCAGTTGAAAGGCTCTAAATACCATTAACCAACCAATCACCAACCAACCAAAAGGTGCGTATCTTGGTGGGCGTACATTTTAGGGATTAAAATATCCCTGACCAGTGGTGTAGAATTAACGACCCTCGTCTTGTCGACAAACTTGAAACCCACTAAACCAACCATCCTTAACTGTTAAAAATTTGAAACTTTTTTTTATAAAAATATGAAAGAGGAATTTTAATTTAGGATGATGGGTAGTGGAGAGTAAACATCAAGTGCCCGAGGTCAGGACTGAAGGAGATTTTTATGAATAATATTATTAGTTCATGTACGTAAGAAAAATGAGCAGATAATGAAAAGAATAAGTGAGAAAATGAAGGAAAAAGAGGGAGGGGACGATGTCCAGGGTCTTACACACAGTTTAGTGGACCTAGTCATTTTTTAATCGATCCTGAGATCATCACCATGCTGCCCATTTTCACACCAGACTTACTCTATTGAAAGCCTCATGTCTAACTTTACATGGCTACGAGGGTCATGTTCTCGCGACTCGGTCTTGGATAATTTCTCTTTGTCGATATCCTAGTAAACTAGGTTGTGACTACTAGCTACCCGTTTTTCAAGATACGCACCACGGCACGGCTGATATGAATATTATTTTTAAATTTCTTGTCTCTCGAAAAATATTGTTATCTCTTAGCGACTATACATATATATATATATATATATATATATATAATATATATATATATATATATATATATATATATATATATATATATATATATATATATATATTAATATAAAATGGTATAGATACTCATTTAAATATGTATATTTAAAATTATTATATAAATATATATATTTATATATTTATATATAATATTTAAAATATATATTATAAAAGTATATATTTTATAATAATATATATATATTTTAATATATTTATACATAATTTATATAAAAAATATAATATATTTATTATTATTCAATAATATTTTGGCGAATATTGTAAAATTGTCCCGTTGCAAGAACTCATTTAAAAGTAAGTCATTTCTAAAATTTTCTCTTATACGGTTAAAGATATATTTTTTACATTAATGTTAATGTAAAAAATTTTAATTTCGCACCAAAAGAATCTTAGAAAGCTTACCTAACCTTATTATAACAAGAGCGATTTATTTTAGCTTAACCTAACAAAATATATTTTAGATTTGTTTACAATAATTTAATACTAAACAAACACGGTGAAATATATTTTTTTCGTTAGGTTCAGAATGATTTTGGCGAAATTATTGCATACACAAATTTTCGCTTGTCCTATATGGCAAGATGAGCGTTGCTATTTAAGCCAAGATCGCAAGTTCTGCCTATTCGGCACGACATATATATATATATTAATATATATATATTATTATATATATAATATATATGATTATATATATATATATATATATAATATATATATATATATATATATATATATATATAAGTAGGCCTTAGACAAGATGTGTGATGTCACCGTGGTTGTTTAATATATTTATAGATGGGTTGTAAGAGAAGCAAATGCGAGGGTCTTGGCAAGAGGCGTGGAGTTAAAAGATAAAGAATCACACACAAAGTGGGAGTTGTCACAGCTGCTCTTTGCTGATGACACTGTGCTCTTGGGAGATTCTGAAGAGAAGTTGCAGAGATTGGTGGATGATTTGGTAGGGTGTGCAAAGAAAAAATTAAAAGTGAATACAGGAAAGAGTAAGGTTATGAGGATAACAAAAAGATTAGGTGATGAAAGATTGAATATCAGATTGGAGGGAGAGAGTATGGAGGAGGTGAATGTATTCAGATATTTGGGAGTGGACGTGTCAGCGGATGGGTCTATGAAAGATGAGGTGAATCAAAAGAATTGATGAGGGGAAAAGAGTGAGTGGTGCTCTTAGGAGTCTGTGGAGACAAAAAACTTTGTCCTTGGAGCCAAGAGGGAATGTATAGAGTATATTTTACAACGCTCTTATATGGGTGAGGAAGCATGGTGATGAATGTTGCAGCCTCAGAAAGGCTGGACAGTGAGAGTCATGTCTGAGCAATGTGTGGTGTGAATATAATGCAGAATTTCGAAGTTTGGAAGTTTGAGGAGTGCCGGGATACCAAAACTGTTGTCCAAGGCTGAGGAATGCTTGAGGTGTCACATGTTGAGAGATGGACAAAACAAATGAACTTCAAATGTATCAGTCTGTAGTGGAAGGAAGGCGGGGCAGGTCGGCCTAGGATAGGGTGGAGAGAGGGTAAAGAGGTTTTGTGTGCAGGGGCTTGGCTTTTCCAGCAGCATGCATGAGCGTGTTTGCTAGAAGTGAATGTACTAATGGTTTTTAATACTGACTGCTGTTGGAGTTGGAGCAAAGTAAACATTTTGCTGTGAGAAATTTTCTACCAGAGGGTATCACCCCCTTCAGCCCTTTCTTTTCAGCCCTGAGGGGCCGAAGCCCTCTCAGAAGGGGCACGTCTTGTTTTACTGCTATATGAGTAATAGATCCCAAATGCTATGCACGTATCAAGTGACTCTCTGCTCCTTGCAGCGGTGTTGCAAAGTGTATTTTTATAAGAGACAGTTACATTCTTACTTTAGCAGACATTAAGGAAAATCCTGTCCCTACTTTATTACCATAGTAAAGATACGTACATTGTCGGCTACCGCTTAAGACGTCAAAAAAACAAAACATTCTGCATTGCTTCATCGAGAGGTGACAAGATGCTGGTACAAGTTCACGTTTTTTTTTTTTTTGGCCAGGGCAGTGACGCTTTGGCGGTGTGGCGACGCCAGAACCACCTTTGACTCTAGTGAGGTGACACTGACCCAGGATAACCAGCGAAGCAACACGGATCCTGTGCTTAGTGTGAACAAAGTGTCTCATAAACCACAATAAACACTTAAGAGAAGTGTGATCAGCTTTCTCCAGTGATAACTTTTGTGAACAATTTTTGAGAGACAGTGTAAACAACGATGTTGCGAACCCAACAGAGTGTAGGCGACATTCTTCAAAGAACACATTCTTCAATCAACTCAACGGTTATCTGGCATAATTACGGTCAATACATATACCCATGTAATGTTTTCTAACTCGTGATGTACTACTATTGACCTGCGCAGTTTGAGTATGAAAGTCGGGTGAGGTCGGAAACTTAACAAAAAACCCCGGTATATTGGGATCATGGTCCATACAGAAGTAAATACGTCCACCAGCATCGATGAAATATGCTGCCATAATACCCCCTAGGTATTTTAATATACTTACAAATAAATATTTTTTTGACACCCATGTTTGGATGGGTTGAGACAGCTTCTAACCTCTCTGCTGGGGCGCTAGTAACATTGCTGTCTCTACATCTAATGTTTCATATTTAAATTTTATAAATTAAACATACTGGTATGCCAATTATCCCAACAAAGTGGTCGTGCTTGAACCGAGATAGACCACACTTGTCCAAATATGTTGTTCTACATGTACAAATAACCTACGACCAAGGTCCCTTCGAGAAAAGCTTAAAACTAGATGTTTTACAATAGAAATCATATAAATGATCCCTCCACTCAATCATAAGAATGGCACCAAACGAAAAACCGGGCGCTCACCCACGTTCACACTAAAGAAAACGGGAGCTGTGACTCACCAACAAGAAAACGGGGGATGGTATCCGCACCCTCCATCAACTGCTCCAACTCGAAAATTCCTGATTAAGACAACAACCCAAGTGATGTGTTTGTCCGATTAATATTATATATACAAAAAGTTTATTAATTTATAGACAAAATTAAGAGACATATGTGTTAAAGTTTGTTTCTTATAGATCTACTATCCTGTTTAATTATGAACTTATATTAAAGTGTAAGCTTTCAAATATATTAAAAACAGATCCAGGGAATTTATATAGTAAGTAATATTCACAGTAATTTTACAGTTATACAGTGACATTTATATGTTATGAATGAAGTGTATAAACTCGTATTTAAGATTAATCATCGTGGTCAGGCTGACACAAGCAAACAAACTCAAGCCATAAACACCATACACAAGTATCCATGTAAACCCTTCAAGATCATTGACCCTAGGTTAGCTTTAGTGGTCAGTAGTGTCTGACTCATTATTGCTGACTTAAGCATATAACAAATACGCAGCTGCTATAGCAGTACAGGTTTTTTTAAACACTCTAAGTGTGGTGCAGAATTTTCAGTAGACCATTAAAATGCTTTTTGAAAACTCAGTTTCAGTCTTACAGACTAAGATTACACAATTAGCAAATCTAATTTCAGTCTGTATAGATTAAATCAAATACAAACTAGATTTGATGATCTTGAGGTTCAATTTGAATTATTTTACACAAGCATAAAAATATTGAATTCAGACTATACACATTATGAAATAAATTTCTTGAATAGTTTCCATCCTGAGGATAAATTAAAAATGTTAGGATACGTTTAGTGATCATCAAGTAAGGGGTCAGAGTTCAGCTACTGCCGAAAAACTCTTCACGAGACCTACTACAGTGGTCAAACACCTTGTAAACCTGTATCAACTAGTTTCCCATTACCCAAGCTTATCCTACATTGTCATTACCTATTTTCAAGGTCATAATAGAAGAATTTTTCATTAAGGTTTGTCAATCCAAGTAAATCCACAGAACTGACATAATAATTGCTAATTTCAATTACTTAAAGTA